ACCTGAAAGAGTAAGTAAAACTCAAAACGTACAATAGATGATATGATAGGGAAAGAAATTGCTCAAAGGAAGGATCAACTGGGATGAAGGAAAGAAGAAAAAAGAAAGAAGGAAGGCAAAACATTATATATATATATATATGAATAGCTGGGATAACTGTACTGCTGATGTCTGTGGTGTATTGAAGGGAAAAGTTAACGCTTAAAATTTTTTATATTTTGACCAATTTTGCATGCTTATATCTGGTAGTCTGAGCAACTGATTTGAAGACAACGACATGCAATGGAATAGCCAGTGGTGAATTCCTATCATCTTGTCTAGTGAAACTCTGTATTATCTCTAGAGTTTTATTTAGTAATTATTTTTATTCTGTTTAATGGTTTGAACAATCTTCCATTCTTACATCTGGTAATCTGAGCAATGTAGCCAAAGATAACAATATGTGATATCGCAACCACTGTTAATTCCTATCATTTTGTTTTGAAACCCTGTATCACTTTTAATGTTCTTGTGTTGTTTTGTTTATGTCTGTGATGTTGGTATGTTGCTATTGTTCTTTTTTTCTTTTCCTACTCTCTTTAAAATAAAAAAATAAGAACTGCAAATGACCAGTTGGTACATGAAAAAATGTTCATCATCTTTGGTCACTAGAGAAATGCAAATCAAAACAATGCAAAAATTTCATCTTACTCCAGTAAGAATGGCTATCATCATGAACTCAGAAAACAAAATTGCTGGTGAGGTTGTGGGCAGAAATGAACTCTTCTATATGTTGGTTGGAATATAAACTAGTACAACCATAGGGAATCAGTATAGGGATTTCTTAAAAAGAAAAATATTTAGAAATTCCATTCAGCCCAGCTTTTCCCCTTCTGAGGTATCTTCCTGAAAGAGTTAAAGACATCATATTACAGTGATGCACTTATATCCATGTTTACAGCAGCAAATCTCATAATAGCTAAATCTTGGAAGTGCCCTATATATCCAGAAAGCGGTTAATGGTTAAAGAAAATGTGGTATTTATAAGTAATGAGTACTATTCTACCATAAAGAAGGATACATTTGTGTCATTTATAGGAAAATAGATGCCCTTGAGATCATAATAAGTGAAATAAGCCATACCCGGGTTAAATATTGCATGATTCCTTTTACATGAGACATCTAAAGTATGAAGAATTCCAAGAATATTTTTTAAAATTTTAAATAGAATAAAAATTTTTTTAAAACTGATAAATGATACAGAATTCCAAGAACAAAACAAAGGAACAAAATTCAAGATAGATGATAGGAAACAGGGAAAAGACTTTGAGGAGATGGCGGCTTGGAGACAGAGGGAAATGGGAGGAGGAAGGAAGTGAAGCTTTAAAAGGTATCTGCACATGTATCAATGCTCCACAACAAGTGTACTTACTATGTATAAACATATACTGGTAAAATCCTTTAAAGGCTTCTACCTCGGAGAGTGCTAATTCTTCACTGAGAAATGTCATATGTCACCCTCACAGCTCACAGCTGGGGAGAAGATCAAGAGATGTTCTAGAACAAGGCTTGGGCTCGCCTCAGTCTCCTGGCACCTGAAATCTCCAGGGTGTGCTTTTACCCACTGCACCCTGCCCTTGGAAAGGCAGGGGTGGCTGTAAACTCGGAAGCTCACAGTCACCTTTGTCCATCACACAATCTTGCCCCGAACCCCGCTCAGAAAGTGCCAAGTTCTAAGGGTCCAAGCCAGTACTGTGTGCTTCTGAGGCAATTACTTTCTGTGCCCAGTTCTCCCTGCCCCCAAGTCTTGGCCACCTGCCTGGGCAGGGAGGAGGCAGCTGAGACAGTGCGGATTGGCTGGTGTAGCTCAGCTTGGCCCAGCCTCTTACACTGACCTCCTAATCAGCAGTCAGTGCTAAATAAGTCTCAGAAGAGTGGTGAACAAGTACCTCCGGAAAGAAGGTGATCGACTAGGGTTAGTGGGGCTGGAGGGTCCTGGGCCAGAAGGGCAAGGGTATTGGCCAAAGCTGGGAAGGGGGTTCCATGGAGTGATTTGAACAGGGAAATTATTGGTTTCTGGGAAACAGTCCCTGGCCATTTCTCTATGATTCAGGCACGTTTACACTCTCATCAGTCTCTGTCTTCTTTCTTCCTCATTGTCTTCTTCCTCCGCCCTCCCTCCTCCTCCTTTTTATCTCTCCTCTTACTGCCTCTTCCTGTATATTCCCCTGAATCTCCCTCCCCGCTGAGCCTTCCCTGCCCTTCTCACAACTCTACTCCTCTCCAGCAACCCTGGAGGTCCCTATCCCCTTCCTAGACCTCAGAACCTCCCCGTATCCCCATCCTCTCTGCCCTGCAGGATGACGCAGCTGAGCCTGCCCTGGCTGGGACTGGGGCCAGTTGCAGCCTCCCCTTGGTTGATTGGGCTTCTGGTTGGGGCTTCTTGGCTCTTGGCCCGAATTCTGACCCGGATCTACGCCTTCTATGAAAACTCTCGTCGCCTTCAATGTTTCCCTCAGCCCCCCAAAAGGAACTGGATCCTGGGCCACCTGGGCATGGTGAGTGTGGCAGCACGAGGGATCTGGGGCACAGGGGTGGATGGGTTCCTGAGGGGAAGGGGATCAGGGAGCTGGGAAGAGGATCAGGGAGCTGGGGTCAGGAAGGGGATCAGGGAACTGGGGTTCAGGAGGAGGTCTTGGTCTAGGACAGCAGAGATGCAAGGGGGTGGCTCGCTCATTCCCTTCCATGGGTGTGCCACCCCCAGCCTGGCTTTCATCCCTGTCCTCCCACTCATAGTCTCTTTTGCATTCATTTCATGCAAGACTTCCTCACATTGGTACACCTGTGAGGGGCCCTCAGGGTGGGCTACACAGAGTGAAGACCCCTTGGATTCCCATGCTTTCTGCTGCTGCACCTGAGAGCTGTCCAGGGTTTGCTCCCTGGATTGTGTCCTTGAGTCAGCCTATCTCTAGGTTTTTCCTCCTTCACAGGAATGAAATTTGATTCCCTCACATAATATGGGGGTGCATCTGCTCCCCCCAGGAGGGTTATGAGCTGCCTCCCCTGCTCCCTTTTCTTGGTACCTACAACTAATCTTATTCTCTTCCCCTAACATGTCACAATGAGCCCTGTTGCCCAACTTGGCAAAAAGTTTATCACTCATTTCCCCTTTCAGAAGCCTTCTGGGATGCCCTCCACCCCCTTCAGGGCACACTTTGGTCTTTCATTTAGATCTGCTCTTTCCTTTATGTGACATGTCCTTGCTTGCTTTTCTTGTAACGGGAATAGCTGATAGGTTTGTATGTTGGTTCAGTGAGCTTTTGCAGAGGATGTTCTGTGTCAGAGCCTGGTGCACTGCAAATACTCACAGGTGGAAATCGCTACCCCAGTGGAGACTTTGGAGGTCACCTCTGCTCTCCTGAGGTCCGTCTACACTGGTGTGTGGACTCCTCTCCATGAGAGGAACTGCAGGTGGTGAGGACCAGCTAGGACATGAAAAGATGTGAAACAAACCCTAGGGACAAGTCCAGGAGCCACACTGCTGACCATAAACTGACATGCTGTGGGCAAAGATCAGAGACTCCCTCTGTCCTTAAAAATCCCGACACACATTCACTACAGAGACTATTTCCTCCAGAGGCTGAAAGAGACACCTACTGTAGCTCCTGGGATAGTTTTTAAGTCAGGATTCTCCAGAATAAGAGAACCAATGGGATGTACATGCATACAAACATACTCACACACATACACTCACATATACCCATAGTCATGTGTCACTTCATAATTGGGACTGATTTTGAGAAATTTATCCTGGGGCAAGTTTTTCTCTGTGTCAGTGTAATAGAGTGTGTCTTACACATGCTGAGATGGTGCAACAGACTACACACCTAGGCTACGGGGTACAACCTATTGGCGTTAGTATACGAAGCTGTACAGCATTTTACTGTTCTGGATAATGTGAGTAATGTAACACAATGCTATTTCTGTATTTAAAAGTGTCTAAACATAAAAATTACAGTAAAATTACTGGGGATAAGGAATTTCTCAGCTCCATTATAACTTTATGGGACTAATCTCAAGTGTGTTGTCAACAGAGCAGTACATAGCACATGATTGTATATACAGCATCAGACACACATATGTTCATACACAGGTATTGTGTATACACATTTATATGTGTATATATGTGCATATAGTCCCATTGTCTTATGTAATTCTCATGTAATTATGGAGATGAGAAATCCCACTATCTTCCATCTGCAAGCTGAAGAACCAGGAAGCTGATGATATAATTAGCCAATGTGTGGCCAAAGTCCTGATTACATAGGATAGGGTGGGACTGATAAGGTAAGCCCTAGACTCTGGAGTTTTGATGTCCAAGGGCAGGAAAAGATGAATGGATGTTCTAGCTCCAGAAGAGTTAGTTCACCCTTGTTCTGTTTTTTCTTTTTCTCTACCTGGATCTCCATGGATTGGATGATGCCTCCCCTACCCTGAGGAGGGTAGCTCCTTACACATTTTACTGATGCAAATGTTAGTTTCTTCTCCAAACAACTTCGCAGATACCCCAGAGCTCATGTTTCACCAGTTATTTGGGTGTCCCTTAGCCTAGCCAGGTTGACATCTGAAATGAACTCTCAGAAAGTGACTGCCTCTGCCTTGTTTGCAGATCCCTCCCACAGAACAGGGCTTGAAGGAAGTGGCTAAGCTGGTGGACACCTACTCCCAGGGCTTTATAAGCTGGTTGGGTCCCATCATTCCACTCATCACTTTGTGTCACCCTGACATCATCCGAACTGTCCTGAATGCCTCAGGTACCTGTGTAGAGCGTGTGGTGGTGGATGCCATAGTTCGCCCAAGGGCTTCCAGCCCCTCCCCACATCCCTGTGTGAAGCCCCTGCAGCATCTTGTCTCCTCTTTTCCTCTTCTCTCAGCCTCTTCCCACTTACTTTCATATGCTCATCAGTCCCCGTTTCCATCTTCTTCCTCTCCTGTCATGCCCCATCCCCATCCTGATGTTCTGGGCCCCTTGAAGCTCCAAGAGGCCTCATTCCAAGGCTCTGTCCTGGAGGAACTCTCAATCTTGAGGAGATAGATCTGGATAGAGACATCCTCAACCTCAAGTGGGCAGGAATAGGTCAGAGGCAGATGGACCATGTGTGGAGAATTAAGGGCTCAGTTGGGGCAGGCTGGAAGGCTTCCTGGAAGAAGAGCTGCTTGAGGAAGTTCTGGAGTGATGAGTAGCGAGGTTTTAAAGCAGGGGCATGTGGTGCACTGCACATCAGAAGCATCTGAGGCTCCCTCCCAGGCCTAGTGTTAGCATTGCCCATGGTCAAGCTCAGAGCAATGAGGGGGGTTTGCAGCTCGTGTGAGGTCTGGGCTTCTATCTTCCTGACACTCAGCTCCGCTAGACTGGTTTACTTCAACCTTACCCCATGGCCTGTCCTCCAGATGGTTAGTGCCCTCCTGTTCCAGGCCTCAGGAATCTCCCTTAAGCCTGGGAGACGCCTTCCCACCCTGGCTCCTTCTCTCTGCTTTTGCCATCCTTGCACAGGCTGGGCTGAGTAGGGACGGGACTGTACCTGAAAGACCATGGCTCTGGCACCAAAATGCTGGGTGATTCTGGGCATATATCGGGCTACTTATAGATACCAAGATTTCTTTCAGTTGTGAGTGGTAGAAACTCACCACCTTTTAGTCTATGTAAAGAAAAAAAGTCTATGGACTGTAAAGACTTAGTGTGTAGGGGGTGGTATGCACAGCCAAGTCTGGATTCAGGTCTCAAATAATGTCATCAAGACTCTGTCTCCTCTCAGTTTTACCTTCTCTGGTGTCACTTTTCCTTTCAAGGTATCTCTTACCTTAGAGTCTTAAGAATCAGTCCAAGAAATTCAGTTTTGTAGGTACTGTACTAAGGGTTTACATGGGAAGAGGTTTAATACAGGACATATAATTTATAGGATTATTTTATAATATTCACCCAAAGAGTCAAATGCAAAAAGTGTGGGACATCTGTCAACACACTAGAGACCCAACAAACCCAACTGAGGGCCTGGATCCCACAGCAATGTGCTGCATGAGTCCAGCTGAAGACCTAGAGCCCATGGTAACATCCTCCATGAGTCCTCCTGGAAGCCTAGAGGCCACGACAATGTCTCATGCAAATCGGTATCAAAGATCTGCACTGGGGAGGCCCAAAGGTCAGCGCTGGACACTAGAAAGTGCCAGCAGGCTGAGGGATCTGCACTGGAGCCAGGAAGTGATGCTCAAGGTAAGGACCTGAGTGTCCCTGAAAAAAACTGTAGCCATCCTCAGCAACAGCAAGGACAATGAGAACAACAAAGCTCATGTCAGGAAAGCCAGCACAACAAGCTTCTCTAGGAGGATCAATAGTGCACCATCTTCGCCTCCAGTTCTCCTTTTAGGCTGTTGGCAACAATCCTTGCACGGACCATCCACCAAGCACCATGTTGATTCAGTTCAGCAGGTGTTACAAGTTGACCATGAGTTGACCACAATCCACCCGTGGTTAACTTGATAACCAGACACATTTCATTAAACCATAGTCTCCAGTGGCAGGTTTGTGAAAAGTTAACATCTTGATCTATTCAGATTTACATTAATATAACAATTACAAGTATACAATTTTTATTGTACTCATGTCCATGCCCAAAGCATAATATTCAAAGGGTGCTCAAAATTCAGGGTTAAAAACACAATACTTTGACTAGTTAACCTGATTATAAACATGTATCTAAAAACTCCATTAAAATCATAAGAGAACTATTACAATCACAATCCTTGCTTCCATTTAACTTTTAACAAGGCATGGCAACACTAAGAAACAGGGATCTTCTGCATTTCAAATACACTCTTCCCTTCTGGTGAAAGGCCTCATGTCATTTTTCCGTTGTCCTGTTTCTTCTCAACAACCACATTCTCCTCTGTGTCATCCTTGTAATCCACAGCTCCACTGGAGCTTTCTCTCTGGCCAAATGCTTCAAATCACCCTGCTGGCTCTTCACTCTTAATGAACATAGATCCAGGTGAAAGCTTTCAACAGCAACCATGCCACCATCCCAACAGTAGACCACGTTGAAATGTTTCTGTCACCCAGGAAATATGGTGACAAGCAAAATGCAGACCAACTTTCTGCCAAAGCACAATGTACACCACCCTGGGTCCTGCAACCCAGGCAGTCCTCCTCAATAGAAGCTTCCTGAGCCTCATCCTAATCATTAACATTTCCATCTGCACTCTGATTTTTCAGGCTCTGACCAGAGTTTCACATAGTTTACGGCATATGGGGGCTGCTCCTTTGGCCAGTCTCTCACCTTTCCAAATTAATTCCCAAACCCCTTAAGCCACATGGCCAGGCAAGTCACAGCAATGACCCCACTCTCCTGGTACCAATATTGTTGTAGTAAGCGTTTACAATGGAAAAGATTTAATACAGGACACATAATTTATAGGATTATTTTATAGTATTCACCCAAAGAGTCAAATGCAAAAGAGTGTGGGACATCTGTGAACACACTAGAGACCCAACTAATCCAACTGAGGGCCTGGATCCCATGGCAATGTCCTGTATGAGTCCAGCTGAAGACCTAGAGCCCATGGTAATGTGCTCCACAAATCCAACGGGAGGCCTAGAGGCCACAACAATGTCTCATGCAAGTCTGTATCAAAGATCTGCACTGGGAAAGCCCAAAGGTCAGTGATGGAAGCTAGAAATTCTGTGCCAGCACACAAAGGATCTGTGCCAGCAGGCTGAGGGATCTGCATTGGAGCCAGGAAGTGATGCTCAAGGTAAGGACCAGAGCTCCCCCAAAGAGAAACACAGCCATCCTCAACAACAGCAAGAACCCGATCTCCTCTGAGGATGAGAACAGCTGAGTTCATATTAAGAAAACCAGCATGACAAGCTTCTCTGAGAGAATCAACAGAGCACCATCTTCCCTTCCAGTTCTCTTTTTATGCTGTTGGCAACAATCCTTGGGTGGGCCTTCCACACCCAGTACCATGCTGATTCAGTTCATCCGGGTGTTGCAAGTTGACTATTAACCCACCAAAGCAGGAGAGCTCACCTTTCCTCCAGGGTTCCCATTAGTGACCTATAATACATTTTAATTGCTCTGGCCTCAATCACAGGACAAACTCCTCATTCAATCACTGTGACTCTGATTGCTCAGTCTTGGCAGGCGTGGGGCTCCCAGTGCTATGATTTTGGGGAATGCAAAGCAGTATAATGGTTAAGAACTCAAGCTATGATTCAGACAGACCCAGAATTGGGACTCAGAGATGTCACTTACCACTGGGGAGACACTGGGCAAATATGCTCATCATTCAGAGCCTCAGTGTCTTTATCTGGGATAGGATAGAAGAGAACCCAGGCGAAGGTGGTGTTTGAGATCCAAACAGGGAAGGACTTTTTGTATCTCTGTAACACAGGGACCTGGATTGCTGTGATTGTTGAATGAGGTCAGGGAGCCCAGGAGGAGCTCAGCTTAAGGATAATGAGCTGCTGGAGGTAATATCAAGTCCTCCATTTGGGTCCCTGCACCACATACCCATCCGTGTCAGCCCAGAGGAGTGTGCATTTGGTCTTCTTTGTCCTTTCCAGATTCAGAGCTCAGAGGAAGGTCTCCTGTACACCCAGGGCCTGGCACGCACCTATGGAGATGTGTGCTGCTGGTGGGTAGGGCCCTGGCATGCTGTCGTCCGTATCTTCCACCCCTCCTGCATCAAGCCTGTGCTCTTTACACCAGGTAGACACCACAGCACCCCCAGTCTGCCTGTCATTGAGGTCTCCGTGCTGCCACCAGCTGATTGAGTGAACGTGTGCAGGCAGGAGGGGCTGTGGCCTTGACACCCCTACCTCTGCTCACTGGAACCCACCAGTCTGAGCTCTGGTCTTGTCTGCTTTGCTCTAAAGTGTCTCTGTGACAGCTGCCTTTCGGGCATAGCTGATGTATTGCCAAGTCTTGTCAGAAATTTATATTTACACTTAGATCCCAGTTATACCTGGTATGTTTTATATTGGTTGTACCTGATTTACACCTTGGATCTTATAAAGATTGTCATGTCTGGGGCACAGCAATGACCAAGAATGCTGGGAGAATTTTAGGGTTTATCTGGTTCTTGTTTGAGATTGTCTTTTTGTCCTGCTGGTGATGTCCCAGCCATGTTTGGGGATTGTCTGGGACCTTCTTTAATTTTTGTCTAGGGCAGATAGCAAAGTACGTCCAGATGATGTTCAAGGTCCAGTTGAGTCCCATGTGGGCTTTATCTGTGGTATTAGTAGGACCACACTTTAATCCTATCTGTGGACTGTCTATGTGTCATCTTGAAGTCATTTTATAATATCCATGGCTCATATCAGAGCATATTGTGTCATATCAAGGCAAGTCATGTATGTTGCTGTCATGTGAAGAGATGTCCATGTTACATGTCCCAGGTCTATGACAGGAGATGTCAGAGACTGAGAGGATGGACAGGGTGTCATAGGTCTCTGCAAAGATCTCTGTAGAGTGTTTCCTGTGCTTGGTTGTTGCAGAACACGTTGGAGCATGTAAGGGCCATGTCAAGGTATGCTGGGATGTGTTGTGCCATGTTAGGCTGTGACTTTCTTCTGTTCTGCTGTTGCTGCCTAGTTTTCCCCTTTTATGTCCCCCATCCTCTGAGCTTCCTTTGTCCTTGGGTCCCTTCCTGCTGTGCTAGGCTGGGGAGGAGGAAGTGCAGACCCCTGACTAGGAGCCTCCAACTTCCTGCCCCCATGACTGGGCATCCCTTTCTTCTCCGTGGTCCCTGATGTCTCTTCTTCATGCCAGCTGCTGTTGCCATCAAGGACATGGTCTTCTATGGCTTCCTGAGACCCTGGCTGGGTGAGTACCTGCAGGTGGAGGGGCTCAGGGGCAACCTGGGGCCAGGGGAAGGAGCTGTCTTTGCCCACTGCCCATGGCTGCCCCACCAGGGGATGGGCTCTTGCTGAGTGCTGGTGACAAGTGGAGCAGCCACCGTCGCATGCTGACACCCGCCTTCCATTTCAACATCCTGAAGCCCTATGTGAAGATTTTCACTGAAAGCACGAATATCATGCATGTGAGTCCTTCAGCCCAAGGTCCCAGCTGGAGCCTGGAAGGTGAAAGGGCCACAGACAGATCAGGTCTAGAGTCCTGGCTCTGATGGGTTACTTTGAAGTCATTGCTTTTTATTAGTCTATATTATCATTGCTATTTATTAGTCTATATTAGTCTTTTATTATCTATAAAATGGGGGTGGAAACATCAACTTTTAGTGTGGTGCTAAGGATGTAATGGAATCATGCCCCTGGCAGGTGCTTGGAAGGAGTTAGTTTCCATGTTTCTCTCTTAGAAGTCATATAAACTGATCACAGAAGCTATTGCTGGGTAACCAGCCACCTCCAAACTCATTTGTTCAAAGCAGTAAGGACTTACTGATGCTAGCAAGTGTATAGACCAGAAAGCTGGTTTTTCAGTAAGGGGATTGGATCACTGATAATTTATGATCAGCTGTGGATCAGATAGAGAGCTTTGCTGATCCTGAATCAGTTCTCTCCCACGTCTGAGGCATGTGCAACTTCGGGCTGATTGAGAATGGCCTAATTTGAGAAATCAGGCTCTCAAAAGACATCTTGAAGTTGTTCATATGACTGAGACAGGATCCAGCGGGAGCAAGGGGAGGTGTCAATGCCTCTTGAAGCTTAAGTATATTGGAGTTATGACTTCCTTGTTTTTACCACATGTGTTGGCTAATGTCAAAAGTCTAGCATAGAATTAAAGGGGGATAAAATTGGATCCACTTCTTAATAGGAGTTGCCGAGCAATCATGCTGGACCTTGAGACCATAATGCTACATGATATAAATCAGACACATAAGCTTAAATGTCACATGATTTTTATCATATGAAATATTCAAATTACAAATGCAGAGCAAAATAAAAGGTAGATAATAAGAAGTAGGGAGCTAGGTCTTTCTCAAATGGGAAGGGAATCAGGTGATGAAGAGAGGTGGGAGGAAGAGGGAAAGGGAATGAAAAACAGGAATTAAAATGTGTTACCTACATGTACCAACTCCACACAAGGAATGTAAACATTATGTACTGCAAATATGTACTAGTAAAAATTTTAAAACAACCATATTTCATAGGTTGTGGATACAGGAAGAAGGTAGACATTGCTGGGGGGTGCTTATAGAGTCCTTGTTCCTTCTTGCAAGCTGATAAATTAACTTTTTACTACTTCATGAATCAGACCAGAAGACACAAGATTCCTTGGTCAAATTCTGCTTTTATAACATGCAGAAATAAGCTTACTATTTGTTCAGGGAGAGTCATTCCTTCATCCTTGGATGTTTTTCTTTGCCAACACATCTCTGAGAAATGGCCTGAGTTACGAACATCAGTGGCATATGTTCTTGTCATATTGGGAAGGATACTCACGGCCAGTGGAGGACTGTCTTTCAGGAGAGGGGTATTTCATTTAATTATCACAATGAAAATAGGCCAGATAAGATTTACTGAGCACTCCTTACACATTAGGAATGATACTGCCAGCCCCTCCTACAACACACACGGTCAAATTTCATTCTCATAATGTGTAAGGTAGAAGTTATTTTTTGCCCCATTACAGATGGAGAATGTGAAGGTCAGACAGATTAGGGAGCTTGCTCAAGTTTGTTTAGCTAATAAGTGAACTAGGCATGGTGGAGCAAGGAAGCACTAGTTTAACTGACACCAAAGGAGTTGAACTTAACTGTTGCTGAAGATTTGACATATAGGGCCCAGGGGAGGCTAATAAGTTGACCAAGGATGCAGCAGATGTGGACACAGAGCTGGGACCTGAGTTCAGGGTTCCTATCTCCCAACCTTGGGTTTTCCTTTCCTCATGGTAATGGCTTTCATTCCTATCCAAGCCTGGTCTTCCTTCCCTAGGGTTGAGTGCCTGGGGAAGAGGATCAGGAAGCTGGTTCTGGGGAATCTATCTTGGTGGCTGGGGTTGGAGAGGGATCAAAGGAGTCAAGACTCAGCCACAGCTTCCTTCCCACCTCTGGCCAGGCCAAGTGGCAGCGCCTGGTCTCCCAGGGCAGCGCCCGTCTGGACATGTTTGAGCACATCAGCTTGATGACCCTGGACAGTCTGCAGAAATGTGTGTTCAGCTTTGAGAGCAACTGTCAGGAGTGAGTCCTTTCCCTGGGCTGGGAACCTGGGCCATGGAGCCAAGGGAGGAGGTGGGGAGGGAAGATTGACCAGAAGGACCAGAAGATCCTTCCTGGAAGAGGTGGGTCACACCTGGTATTGAATGACAGGGAAGAGGACAGAGATTGTTCTTTCCTGGTAGGTGGACTTGTCTTAGTAAAGGCAAGAGGCTTCAACAGTTAGTAGCTATGCAACAGGAAGCGAGGAGATACCTTGGAAATGAGGTTGGAAGTAGGAAGTGGCAGACCTTAAGGACATGGAAAAGCTTGTCAAAGTGGTGTGAACTTTATCCTGAGTTACCAGGGAAGTGGTGAAGGTGTTTGGGGTGATGTTGGGCACGATCAGGGCTGAGCTCTGTGAAACACTGCCTGTGTTGTAGACAGCAGATGGAGTTGACACTGGATGCAAGGAGCCTGCAGAGGGCACTGGGTCACATGAAAGAGAATGAAGTCTGAGCTATAGGGGTTTCAGGAAGGTGAATGGGCAAGACTGGATACTGGGTAGGAGAGAAGAGAGGAGATAACGTTCACATTAGGCTTTGAGTACCTAGGGTTTAGAGGGACCTGACAGAGATTGGATGCAGGGAGAGATGAGATTGTGGGTACCAGGTCCCGTGGCTCATCCCTACCATGGATCTGTGAGCCATGTGTTCATGGATACTCAGTTTCCTAATGGGACATAGCTCCCAGCTGCTGGCGCGAGGTGCTTGCCTGGCTTCAAGTATGTTAAGTTTTTTCCTCCCTTTATGCCGTCACCCTGCAGGAAGCCCAGTGAATATATTGAAGCCATCTTGCAACTCAGTGCCCTCGTGACCAAAAGGCATCAGCAGCTCTTTCTGCACATGGACTTCCTGTACCACCTCACCTGTGATGGGCAGCGCTTCCGTAAGGCCTGCCGCCTGGTGCATGACTTCACAGATGCTGTCATCCAGGAGCGGCGTCGCACTCTCAGTAACCAGGGAATTGACGACTTCCTAAAGGCCAAGGCCAAGGCCAAAACTTTGGACTTCATTGATGTGCTCCTGATGAGCAAGGTGGGATTCTCAAGAGGTGGGATAAATGATATATTTGTGATACATAACAATTACATCTATTTTGGTGATATCTATCTATCTATATGTATATTCTTGATCACTTATAATCCTCTTACCCTCATCCTCCATTGTCCCCTCTTCTAAGATCATTTCATCCATCTCAAAATATCCAAATACATATATTGTGTTACATGGGTACATGCATATCCATGTTTATAGCAGTGCAAATCTCAGTAGCTAAATTATGGAAACAGCCTAGATTCCCATCAGCTTAACATGGATAAAGAAACTGTGGTACATGTGCATAATGGAGCATTACTCAGTCATAAAGAAGGATAAGTTTGAGTCATTTGTAGGAAAATGGACGGATCTTGAGACCACGATGTAAAGTGAAATAAATCAGACACAGGAAGGTAAATGATTTCCCTTATATAAGAAATTGTAAAATATAAATAATTCAATGGCAAAGTAAAGGAGAAGTGGTAAGAACATATAATTGAACTTTATGTCAAATATCAAATCAAATCACTTTGGCTAGATCCAGAGACCTCATCAAGAAATAAAAGGACAAGCCAGAGAGGTGCAAACTTCAGATATGACTCTGGAATGCTGCCACAAGTAGAACTCTAACTCTGAAACTGTGAAAGGCTTGAGATTTTATTATACAAGTCGCTATAGTAAGATAATGTGCCATAGTTATGTCTGTGTGGATAGATGCACTAAACTCTTTGATCAGGCAGACCATTTATTACAGCAATAACAACACAGTAGGACTGTAGCAGTGGTGCCCCTTCTTAACTCTTTCCCTAGAGCATGCAACCTTTATGCCCAGATGGTAGCTGGGTTTAGATCCCAAGAGAAAGGCCAGTATGTTATAAATTGCAGAGCTGGCATATCTACCTCTTCTTTCCTCTAGAAAAGGGAAAGATAAAAGAGAGAGGTAGAGGGAGCGAGCATGAAGACATAATTCTGGAATATAAACAAGTGTTCTTGGGTGCAAAACAAATGTCCCCAGAGGTGATAGGATTCTCTGTATTTATCTCCCAAGAATGTGAGCAAATATTTTTGGCATAATGCATATCCTCTAATGTGCCATTTAATCATTCTGTAAATCAGACTGTTATTAAAATTTTCTCAGATGTCCCTCATCATACAGAAACATGAAAATATTCATTGAGCATTGATTGCTGCAACCAGAGACAAGGAAGCCAGGGAAGATGTCTGTTGGGTGGGGACTCTGGCAATGGTAATCTGGCAAGATAAATATAGTGGTATGAGTAGAGTTGAGTTTCTGGATGGAAGAATAATCTTCATAGATTGTCTTGGTTTAGACCTAGGACCCCTCAAAGATGATGATATTCAGGAGGGTCTTGTCTTTTCTCCAGGACAAAGATGGAAAGGAGCTGTCAGATGAGGACATACGAGCAGAGGCTGACACCTTCATGTTTGGAGGTGAGGGTTCTGGTGCGGGTCTGTAGATTGTGCATGGGTCTCTCCACTCCAGGAATGTGGTAGGTAAGCCCTGGATCTCTCCATTTTGTTCATGCTTCCCATTCTGCTTTCCTCCCCGGGGGCTCAACGGATGGACGCTGTCCACCCAGTGGTGCTGAAGCACCCCAGAGTCTCAAACTGACTGTTTCTCAGGCCATGACACCACGGCCAGTGGTCTCTCCTGGGTCCTGTACAACCTGGCGAAGCATCCAGAATACCAGGAGCGCTGCCGGCAGGAAGTGCAAGAGGTCCTGAGGGGCCGTGAGCCTGAAGAGATTGAATGGTGGGTGCAGATTCTTACGGTCTGTTCATGGGCCCCCTTTACTGATTCTACTCTTTAGCTGGGGTAGAGGGATTATTATTTTGTTGATTCTGCCATTACTGTCTTATGAGTGTAGGAGCTGAGTCCAGAAAAAGGCCCTGGCACCCAGCTTGGCTAGCAAAGGGGAAGGTTGAAATTTTGGAGACAGAAAGACCCGGGCTGCTAAGAAATCTAGTGACAATGTGTGAGGGTGAATGATGCTACTTTGCACATGTTCAGTAAATACACGGTACCTCCTTTTCTTTCCTTTTCTGTCAAACACCATTTTTTCACCATCTTCTCTTCCTGGAGGTTTGTTGTTCTCATGCACCTGAATTCTTACTTTAACATGCAGTCCAGGGACTCACAGGGAACACCTGGTGGTAAAAGTCATCTATTTATTATCTAGCACACTGGTGTCAGTCTTCCACCCAGCCTTCATTCAGCAAATACTCTCTCTGCCTTTCCATCCCCAATTCTATGCTCACCCTCCTTCTGTGCTATGAAGACCTGGGACAGATCCAGCTCAGAGATCTGCCTTCCAGGAGCCCACTTTCTTTGGGATAGGACAGTCCCAGATATGGATACTTTTCTAGTTCTTTTTCTTTTCTAATCTCAATTTATCTAGGGATTCTATTATTATATGGAGAAAAGTTTTCACCGGGAAATGCAGAGCTAGTAGTCTGCTTTCCTCCCTGGATAGCTGTGGGTTGTGGTTTCCTCAGGGACGACCTGGCCCAGCTGCCCTTCCTGACCATGTGCATCAAGGAGAGTCTGAGGCTGCACCCCCCAGTCACAGTCGTCTCCCGCTGCTGCACCCAAGACATTGTGCTCCCCGATGGTCGGATCATTCCCAAAGGTGCCACACCGGGAAGAGGCAGGACCCAGCATTCACCTAGCTGCGGGGCCTTGTCCTGACCGGCTCCTCTTCTTCCACAGGTGTTATCTGCCTCATCAGCATTTTTGGTACCCATCACAACCCAGCTGTGTGGCCGGACCCTGAGGTGCTGCCTCTGCCCTGCCCCCCGCCCCCACCTCATTCTTCTCTATTACAAGGACCTACAAAAGGGGGAGGCGATATGTGGTGGGAAATCTGCTCCTGCCACACCTGCATCTGCTTCTCCCTGTTGGCTTGGTGTCTCCTCTAGGTCTATGACCCCTTCCGCTTTGATCCAGAAAACAGCAAGGACAGGTCACCTCTGGCTTTTATCCCCTTCTCCGCGGGGCCCAGGTGAGAGCAGTGGCTGTCTGAGCGGGGGCGGTGTCTGGGTATGACATAAAGGAAGTCGGGAAGTTTGGGATGGTCCCAGGTGCGAGTTGGCTTCCAGCTGCTGCTACACAGGTTATGCGCGAAGGTGTGGAGAACGAGGGTTGGGTAGGTGCAAGAGGGGTCCGCGGTGGCTCAGAGGGCCCCTCCCCATTCATCACCTCTGATCTGAGTTGGGCGCTGGAGCCTGGGCCATACTGTCATGGTCGGGGAGCTGTCACGGTCCCTCCCCTCCCCTCCCCGCCCGCAGGAACTGCATCGGGCAGAACTTCGCCATGACCGAGATGAAGGTGGTGCTGGCGCTGACTCTGCTGCGCTTCCGCGTCCTGCCCGACGCCGCCGAGCCGCGCAGGAAGCCGGAGCTGATCCTGCGCGCAGAGGGCGGGCTGTGGCTGCGGCTGGAGCCGCTGAGCACAGACGCTTAAGGGGTCCCAAGGGCTGGCCTGGAACCCTGCTGACCCCACCCTCCTGCCCAGACTCGAATAAATTGTGCTGTCACCTGTGTCTGAGCCTTAGTGAGCACCGCAGGGGGAGCTGGGGACCCATGGCTGGGCGTGGTTGGAGGAGGAAGACGTGGTGGTCTTTGGCCGCCCTGACTGCCTCTCTGTTTAACCACAGGACTTCCGCACCAATGGTAGATTCTATGACTGCTCAAGCATGGGTGTATTTCCTTGTGGGACATGGCTACAGGAGGTGTTTGTGCAACAAAGGCGTAGGAGGGAAAAGAGGACCTCAGTTGCAAGATTGAGGCTCTGAATCAGAGCGGAGAATCCAGCGAGGTAGACTCCTTTTCATGTAGAGTGAAGGTGGGTGCAGGACTGAGGGCCTTGGGTAGCCCAGAGCACAGGGAAGGAGGGCCTGCAGCTTCTCCCGGGTCCTTAGTCCTTTTCCTGCTTTGCCAATGCCCCACGCCTGTGTCCCCTCGTCTCGGGGGCATTCAAGCAGAGACTGGTGGGGGTGCTGTAGCTCATGGTGCATGGTTCACCCCTTCATTGGGTGACAGGCTGGTCACCACAGACTGTCCGCCTCCCAGCCCCAGAATAACTGACCATGTGCGGGTCCTTCCTGATGACAGGTAGGCATTTGGGGGTTGCTGTTAGTATTTCACCATGAACAGATATTTTGGATTCAGGCTAAGGCTCCCTGAGCCTGAAAGTTACGTAGTTCACTGTCTTCAGCCAAACAGAATAGATGCTCAGGACAAAAAAGACATTTAAGGCCTTTTTCTAAGACAAGGTCATGTCTCGGTCATGTGTAAAATTTAGCCCAAACTCCATAGCCCAGCCTCTAGTCTGGGGTTTATCTCCTCCTTCCTGCTGCTCTAGCACATGGGCATGATGCTGTCAGGCGTTTTTCTACTCTATACTTTTACTGACTTCAGTACCTGTCACCAAAATGCCATCTCCTCTGGTATCAGTCAAGAGGACTCATATTCTTCCTTTCAAGTTCAGAGAAAAATTTCTTCCTCTTCAATTTTCCATAATTCCCAGCAAATATTTCTATCTCAGCCCTTCATATTGTGTTGTGGCTGCTGGCTCATGCAGCTGGGACTGGATACGATTTGTCTCTGTACCCCCAGGGCCTGAAACAGTCCTGGGCACACAGCAGTGACTCAGCATAGAATTCATGCATGCAGTTCAACAGAAGAGCCTCTGCTGTTGTCCAAGAGTCCACATTCTCAAACCTACTGGATCCTGGTATTCAGTGTCCTGTAATGACATTCGTACATGCAGGTTTTCTGAACACATAGTGAATTCCACATACTGTGTTCATATGAATGCAATTAACTGTCTGGACTACAATGATAGGGAAGTGCTGTTATTACCCGCTTTGGCAGATGAGGAAACTGAGCCCAGAAGTTTGAGTCTGCTATCAACTAAATATTTGTGCTTCCTTAAAATCCATATATTAAAATCCTAACCCTCCATGGGATGGTGTTAGAAAGCTGGCCCATGGTAGGTGATTGGGTAATGAAGGCTCCATACTCATGAATGGGATTAGGGGCCTTTATAACGGAGACCTCAGTAACCTGGTTCTCTCCTTCTGCCACATGAGGACACAGTAAAAAGATGATCTAAAAACGATGAAGTAGATCCTTACCAGGCACTGAAACTGCTGGTGACTTGATTTTGAATTTCCAGTTTCCAGCACGAACAAATAAATTTCTATTATTCATAATCCACCCAGTCTACAGTATTTTGTGACAGTTCTCTGAATGTGTAGAGTGCTAAGCAATCTGGTAAAGCCCATTTTGACCTCCTCTGAGCCCTACATCAGGGTCACATGTCCTTCTTCAAGATGGGCTGTTTCAGAAACCTCACAAAACATTGGTATTCCTTCCTATAAAAGGTGTGACTGCTACATTGCCCATCCTTGTGGCCCATATGTTATCGTAGGGATGATGGGTATCACTGGCCCAAGGAGACAAAAACACATAGTCATGTCCTCTCTAACATTCTTGTCATTGAGTCCAAGCTGTTGTCTCCTTCTAGCCTATGCTTTTCCCTTTAAAAACAACACTGCCCGTGCTCCTGTGTGCAGCCTCCCTTTGTTAACCTCCTGTTAACCCCCTTAACAGAGTGGCCTGATCTAAATGAACTCTTGCCTTTGGTATCTTTACTCTGCTCTTGGTAAATTATTTTTTCCCTCATGTCACTGGCCTCTGCAGTGTTGTCTCATACAGCAGCATGGACTTTAACTGTTATTTCTCTGAGGTTAGTCCATGTTTAATGAACCAAACTCAGAGGGTTAAACAGCATACACACTGGAAGAGCTCATTTGGTGTTACAGAGCACCAGTGCTTAAAACATTTTCAGAAGAGAGACAGTCATCACTTAAAAATAGCCAAGCATGTGACTCGGGGCTTGAAGTTGACCCAGAGTTGGCTGTGCTGGACCAGCAGCTTAGAGTGCACAGGGGAAAGAACCCCTGACACCACACCTACTTCTTTTGGATGCTGCAGACAAGAGCGTACACTTGAAAAAGAACACATATGCTGGGATGCACCTGAAAAAGATCACCCTACTTAGTTCCAAAAGTTGATACACTTGTAATCCAGAGCCTTAATTCCTCCTGGGTATCCCCTCAAATCAACTCTACAGTGCCATTATGCTGTTAAATCCTAGGTGAAATATAAAAGAAATACCATGCCAATAGGACATGGGTGGAAGCCTCAGAACAGCATAGGACATTTGATCAGCCTCACATTTGGGGCTGAGGGTCCACAGTGTGACAAAAGGAAGATATGAGGACCAGGGATAGCATCACCAGGTGACAGGCACCATTGGGAACTTCAAAAAGTTTGAGGCTATTATTTCTGGTGACTGGAAACACTAAGATTCAGTTTAGGTCTGGACTACCCATCTTAGAGTCACTCAAAATGCTGGCATCTCTCAGGCAGAGGGGACTTCTTTAAAGGAAGACACTCAAGAGCATGGGCTTCCAAAGACTAAGGGCCCAGCAAAGTGGCTTTCTTGTTGAGTCTAAGGAAGGTCCAGTTCCTTAGCAATACCCAGTGTGTTTATGAGCTGCCAGCCATCATCTTCTCACTATTGCTTTTGCTTTACAGATGAGGAAAGTGAACTTCAAAGGTTAAGTAAATTATCTGAGGACTCAACACCTACGTGATGGATATGGGGCTGAAGAATTCAGAGAATTCTCCAGAAATTATAAAAAGTTATTAACCATAAATCCAAGGAGCTCAGAGAATCCCTAGAAGGATAAATTCTAAGGGGATGTACATATGCAGAGAAACACATAGCCCTAGGCACATCCTGGCCAAAAAGCTGAAAAGCACAGATAAAAAGTCAGGATTATGGCCAAAAACAGGACACAAAATGATGCAATCTATAAAAATTTTCCTAACAGTTAGCTTGGTCACTAAGTGATTTTCCATAAACGTGAACTCACTTCTCCTCTTTGCTTCCATTGATTTTTTTGCACTACTGAGGATGGAACCCAGGAGCGCATGCATGCTAGGTAGGTGCTGTATTACTGAGCTCTACTCCCAGCTCTCTACATTTAAATTTTGAAGTGATAGGGTTTGAGCCAGGGCTCTGTGGTAGAGCACTTCCCTAGCATATGTGAAGCCCTTAGTTTGATCTCCAGGACTGGAAAACAAATAAATAAGTTTTAAAATAATAGATAAATGCATGGAGAATAACTTTCACCATGAACTCTGACAGAACATTTGTAATGACTCCTAAGTTGTTCTAACCATAGTTTTTATCTCAAACAAAGTACAGTATCTTTACAAATGAATGTTAAAAAAACTGAAAGGGAAAAGACACAAAGGATCATCAAATTGATTCTGCAAATCAGAATTCTGCAAATCACCAAACTGATACTGGTCCACCAACTTGGGATGGAACTCACAAAGAAAACTTGAGGCAAAATACTTTCCCCAAATACTTGTATCATGAATTGGTGATAACGTATCTAGAGATCTTGGGGGCCTTACTGAGTCAGGAAGGAAAGATATGATGGTTTACGTGGGAGTGGACATTCCCTATTATAGGATGGGTGTATCTTCTGTAAAATCTTGAGAGCTGTGAGATGCTTAGAGGAGAATGTGCTGCAACCATGACTGGAGGTAGACACTGTGAGTCAGAGGATAAACACTTCCTTACACCAGCAGAAGAAAACTCTCTATGCATGCTCAGGAAACTAGGTGAGTCAAGAATCTTGGGGCAGACATGGTTTTACTCACGTAGATGTGCTGGGTCCAAGATCTATCTCTTCACTGACCTGACCACAAAAAGAGAGGAGGAAGCTTAAGGTGCCTTATAATCCCTATGTTATGATACACACAATCACCTATTTCTCTGACTATTCTTTGACCCAGAACAGCAAAGATGAGTGGTTCAGCCTCATATTTTGTTTTGTCTTTTTGAAACAGGGTCTCACTATGCAGTTCAGGCTAGCCTTGAGCTCCCTTTGTAGCCCAGGCTGGCCTCAAACTCACAACGGTCCTCTTGCCTCATTTTTGACTAGAATGAAATCCTAGAACACTTGACTATCCTAGCACTTTTCTGAGTATGTGTGTACTGATCCCTGCTCTTTCCCTAGAATGGAAGTCCTGACTATCCCAGCATTTCTCTCTCTCTCTCTCTCTCTCTCTCTCTCTCTCTCTCTCTCTCTCT